TTAATTAATATTAAAAGTAAAAGTTGAAAATAAAATAATGAGTTAAATTATTAAAGAAAGAACAAAAAAAGCAAGCACAATAAAAAGAAATAGAAAAAGAAAAAGAAAAAAGAGCTTTATTGTTTTAAATTAGTTTTTATAATTAAAAATATCACAATCCAAAACAAATAAACAGTTTTTACTCAAGCTTAAGTGTCAAATTTGAGAGATTAATGCAATTTGCTAAACCAGAACCTAAGCCTGATGCACATTTGTCACCAATTTTATTGGAACTTTTTAAATATTGAAGAAAAAATATATGATTAAATATTTAATTAGAAGGAAAAAATGAAGAAAAAATATGAACTAACAAAATTAATTAATATTAAAAGTAAAAGTTGAAAATAAAATGATGAGTTAAATTAACAAAGAAAGAACAAAAAAAAGAAATAGAAAAAGAAAAAGAAAAAAGAGCTTTATTGTTTTAAATTAGTTTTTATAATTAAAAATATCACAATCCAAAACAAATAACCTGTTTTTACCGAAAATAAAGTGTCAAATTTGAGAGATTAATGCATTTTGCTAAACCAGAACCTAAGCCTGATGCACCTTCGTCACCAATATAATTTTGACTTTTTAAATATTGAATAAAAAATATATCATTACATAGAGTAAGTTGCCATACAAATTTACAAAAAGTGAGTTTTATATACCTAGTTTTTACATTTTATAAAATTAAAATTTTAAATATTTTTTCTGAATTTTTTTTCATCATAATCAAAAATTTTTAATCTGATTTTTTTTTCAAAAAAAATGATATGTTATAAGAATATACGGTAAATACTATTTCAAATTTTGTATTTTGTGAATTTAAAGCTTTCTAAAAACTCAAAAATAAAGCTATTTAAAGCTAATTTAGCTTTATTAATTATGTTATAAAGATATATTACATTTAGCCTTTTCTAAATTAAATAGGCATTTCACTCTAGTTCATTAGAAGGAAAAATATGAAATAATAAGATTAATTAATAATTAATAAAATTAACAAAGGATGAAAATAAAAAGAAAAAGGAAAATAAATCAAATAAATTAAAAGAGCTTTAATGTTTTAAATTAACTTAAATAATTAAAAATATTACAATCCAAAACTAATAAACTGCTCTTATTAAGGAGAAGTTTAAATAGCAAAAAAATAAAATGTCAAATAATAAATAAATAAATAATTAAAAATTGAATTGAAAATTAAGTTAAAATAGCTAAAAAATTTTTGTTTTAATAAAACCAATAAATAATGATGAGAATTTCTATAACAAAAATTATTTATTTAAATAAATTAAAGTTAAATACATAAAAAATATTAATAATAATAAAAAAAATATTTATAAATAAAATATACTTAAGATCAATATGGAGAACCTCATGAGATAAAAGTGAAGAGCTTAAAAACTTTTTTTATTAATTTATTTAAATTTAAAGGATATTAATAAAAAAATTAATAATTACTTCTTCTAATTTTTTATATTTTTTAATCTATTATATCATTTATTTTTTTTTTCTAAAATATTGAATAGCAAACAATTTATGGAATTTAATTAATTAATTAATAATAGATGGATAAAAAGAACAAATAAAATAAGTAAATAATGAATTATCAAATATTAATTTATAAATTTGGTTTTATGAAGAGATATCATATAAAAATTAATTTAACATTCATTGTTTAATCTTAATATTTGTATTTAAAATATATACATAAAAATATAGTAGGAATTAGAGATAAGTAGTTAGTTAGTAATATTTGGAAGAATTCTAATAATTAATTAATTAATGTTCATAAATTTTATAAAAATAATGTTTATAAGTAGATTTTTCTATTTTAGATCTTTATTTAATTATAGGAATATTTATAATTTCCCTAATCATATTATTTTTCTTTTTTGCAAGCACATTTTATTTAGGTAGAAAGATTGCTTCCACCAAATAAGCATTTAATACCAACTTAAATAACTTTTTAGTAAATAGATTTACTCTAAATAATATTTTCATTAAAAATAAATTGAGGGACTAATTAATTTTGAATAATTATAAATAACCTTTATTAAATTAATCTAGGAATTTTTTTTTTTGGAGAAATTACAGTATTTATTTTAAAAATAAAGATGAATATCAATTTTATTCTTTAGCATTTTCTTGAATTTTTATCTAAGAAATTAGTTGGAAGGTACTATTTTCATCACTAAAAACAAAGATCAAACTGGTAAACTGATGTAATTTAAAACTTTAAAGTAATTATTTTAAATTAAACTTTATGAAAATAAACTTAATTCTAAAAAAATAATATAATTTTAAAACAAGTAATTTTAAAAGGTGATAAATATTCTTTAAGTGATTAACAAAAAATATAAAAATATAAATTTGGCTCAAACGTCTATATTAAATATTATTTATTTTAAATCAAATAAATTATACAGTATACCAAAAATACTTTTGGATTCATTACATTTAATGTATTTTTGAATCAGCAAGATCATACAAAATGACTTTATTAACTCTATGAAGACCATTTCTGTTAGAAAAGATATTATAAATAGGATTATAAATTAATTCGACTCACTTGGAGTTTTGCCACTAGATACTGCCAAAATGACATAGTAGTAAACTAAGCTTATAACTATTTGCAAAATTAGAGAAACCGTTTTACCTATTGAACCCTTTTTGAATGTAAATATAATTCCTAAAAAAGCAATCTTTATTAATGAACTGTTTATTATGGCTATTATTATCTGCTAAATGAGCATATTGTAACCTTAGAATAATATTGAAATAACTAATGTGTGTATTGTTTTTAAGTAAAGCAGAGTGAATCTTAATGGCCTTTAAAGGATATCATCAAAAATGTAAAAAATGCTAAAAAATTAATGAAAAATTGCAACCTTTTTCGCTTTAGGAAGTTACAAATAAACATTCATTTTTTAGATTTCTTCTTCATCTTAAACCTATTTTATTTATGTTTATGAACTTGTTTGAGTTTTGATTTTTTCAACACTTTTAGAGCTTGATTATGATTTAATTATTTGCAATTAGTTAGATTCAGCCTTCTCTTCTTTCATTTCAATATTTTGTTTTTAAAATATTTTTAAGTTTCTTTTGGTTTGTTATGTTTATAAATTGAGGAATTTTTGTCTTTTTCTTCTTCTATTAAATTAGTTATCTTTTTTTTAATCAGGAGGTGATAAAATCTATTGATTTTACTAAATTTCTGGTTAGAAATCTTCGTTACTCTTAAATTGATGAGTAAAAGGAGAGTGCTGGAATACAAAGTCATTTATCATTTAAGAATTTTCACAAATATTTTAGTTATTATCATCAATTTATTATTATTGTTATCTTAACTCTTATAATTAATAATTATATAATTAATTATTTAGTTCTTGATTATGAACTTTTGTGTATCTTATTTTTACTGAATATTTATCTAAGAATTTTCCAATAATAAATAAAATAATTTGAATAAATGTGAAACTTATCAATATCCAAAATACTATATACAAATAAAAGTTCTCAAAGCTTGCTATATTTAATAGTCCTTATTCTCCAAATGCTGTCTACAAATTTTTATTTTTTAAAAGCATATCATCAATATCTTCAATGATGGTTGTTGGTTTTTAGGATGCACAGCTGCAAACGTAGGAATTTAAAGTAATTTTAGTGATACCACAATTTTATTTGCTCCACGAAAAATTATTTTTTTAAAGGCATGTCATATTATATAAATTACTAGAATTTGTATTATCAAACTAGTAAAAAATAGTAGACTGATTTAAGGTTGTTTAAGAAGATGAATTATAAATCTATGGTGATATTACTTCATTCTTAGAGTAAGTGAAGTTTTAACTAATATTTTTGAATTGCTATGTGTATGCCTAAAAATCGGAAGTATTTTCATAAATATTTTACTTATAATTATTTCTTGAAATACTAAATATGCTTGTTTAATTTTCAGAATTGTAATCAACTGTACTTAGGACATATTTGAATAGGTTTTTCTATGTTACTTTATCTGACAAAAGAGTGGACAAGTCACCATTTAGAATAATTTGCCCTTAGTTTGGTAAGCTAATATTATTAAGCAGATTTCCAATCTAACTTGATATTTTATCATATGACTAAAAATCTTCGTAAGAGTTATTACTTTACAAACTAACACTTGAGTTTAAAATTTTAAAAGAGTCTACCATATTTTAAATTTAAATGTCGTTATTTTGTTGTAAATGACTAAGATTACTATTTTATATGCTTGAATTAGTATTTTGGAGTATTGTTTACAGTTAATCAAATATTTTATTTTTCTATGTGGTAACATTGTTTTATTAAGATGAGCTAAAGAGTAGTTATGATAGCTAAGCAGTTACTTTGTTTGCAAATGTAGACAAAAGGGAGAATTTTGGTATTTAGAAAGACAATTGCTATATATTTTAAATCAGTAGAGTTTCTAAATCATTCATTTGCTATGAAAATTAATTGTTTTTACTGATATCTTCTGCTATAATGCTTAAAGTCACAAGTTAGTTAGTGATTTATATATTTGAGCTCTATAAAACTTACAAAGTCTGTTGATTTACCAGTTTATAATATTCGTCAGCTGATTTATTCTAAGCTTGAACTTATATTGTAGAAGAGGTATTATAAACTCCTAGATAAGAATCCATAACCTGTACCATAAAAACTAGATTTCCTTAAGGTAGTATTGTTTAAATTGAGCTATTTATAGTCTAATCTTATATCTATCTTCTTAAAATATTCCAAGGTGAAATTAATTCTTGACTGGCATCATCTGCACTATTGTAATAGAAAAACTAGTAAGTTAGAGGTAGATCTTCATCTATACAATTCAATAACTGAATCTAGAAAATAGTTTCAAGCGCTATTCCTTATAAGGGATTAATACTTAAAACGCAATTCTGAGGCGGAATATTAATTTAAATGCTAATTGTGGACAAGCTTGGCATAACATATAATGGATTATACACAGAAAATCTTATTTAAAGTGTTGGCTTTGAGGGATTTATTTTTTAAAAATAGTTCCATATTCTGAATCTAATTTAGAAATAATCAAATTTGATTGCTGCAACTGGATTATTATCATATAATATAGCTCCTGCATAAGACAAGTAATCAGATGAAACATTCTCACCATAATTTATTTAAAAATTAAGATCATCATTCAAATTAATTTTTCTGTTTTAACTTGTTGCTGTTTAAATAATATTTAGTGGAGGAATATCTAATTCTGTAAATATACAAGTTGTGGTGAAATTTGATTGCCTAGAATCTTTTTATCCAATAACTGTAAACTAAACTATAGTGTATGGTTAAAACGTTTTAGCAGGAAAAGTAATACTACTGACTCCTTGTTGCAATTAAATCTAATTATTCTAGTAATCATAGCAGATATGGTCGTTAGAGGATAGGCTATTACACTTCCAACTAAAGCTTATATTTGAAGCAGAATTTGGATCTTGAATTTCATAATCCCTTGAATCTGTATTTAAGACCATTTTATTTTAATAGCCTAAATTAAGACTTGAGCCTCCAATAATTTGCAAATACAAATCTGTAATTTAAATATTAACAGTGATATTTTAGATGGCAACAATCTTACTATCTGAACTCAAATTCAAAATCAACTATTATTAAAAATAAATATTATAAATATTTGAACATTTTGAAGAAGTTTATTTTAAATTGGAATATTAAAATATTAAATTCAATTTCTCTTTATAAATGAAATGGGAATATTATTCAATAATTAAATAATTAGAGGTATTTTTCAAAATAATATTTTTTTAATATATTACATTTCTGTTATTTTAAAACTAATTAAAAAATTTTAGAAATATTATTTATATTTATTTATCTAACCTTTACTGGATATTTGATAAATTAGCTTAACTATTTTGATGTTGTTTCTTTAATAATATTTTCAAAAAATTACACTCATATTAAAGGTTTAATTAGATGCTAAGGAGTAAGGGAGAATATCATATTGAAAGCTTGATTAATTGTATTGACTTAGGCTTTACTTTTAAAGCTGGTTAGAAACAATTTGTAAATCAACAGGCTCATTAAAAAAAGTTGTTTGACCTAACTCACATATCTCTACGTAAAATTAAAAGTAGAAAGTTAAGCTCATAGATCTATTTATTTATTATTTTAAGAATAATTAAAAAAAATAATTAATAATTGTAAAGAATAATTAACCTATAAATTGGTGGATACAAAGATTGCTAATAGTTGACTCTTATAAATTTTTATTTTTGATAAATAACAGTGAACGTTTAAGTACCAGTTTAGTTAACCTTCAGTAAATAACTAAATTATATTGTTATGTTAATATTTGGTGGTAAGAATTTAGGATCTATAATTAAACTAGTGTTTTTGTTTAAGCTTGCTTTTTATAATATCTCTTTTATGCTTTCTTACTACTAGATGCTTATCGAGCCTACAATTTGATTTAAAGTCCAATTTAGACTCATAAATTTTCTTCCTGCATCGTTTTAAATATTATAAAGAGTTATATTTATAGAGTTACAGCTGTTTTCTATGTGATTATAGCTAAATTAAAGTTAAGGAATTCCAGGGTAATCTTAGAAAGTAATGTTTCTATAAAATGTGTTAATGAAAGTATCCGTATAATCTATAAACTGCAGCTTATTTGGCAAAAAATTAATTGAGTTATTTTCCATGATTGTTGATGAGTCACCTATTTATTAAAATAAAATAAAATTTAGAATAAAATATTTAAAAATAAAAGTATTTATTTATTTATAAATTAATTTAATGAGTTGAATACAATATTTAACACAAATAAGCTACTTAAATTAACCAAAATTCTTTTCCCATTGATTTCGCATTAAGAATCCAACCCAAGTATACCTAATGTTGATAAGTCAAATAGCTAAGAGCACAAAGACTATGGTGTATTTGATATGATATTCATCAATGGAGATCCGAAATCAATACTAAGCTATGGAGATGTAGCATTTAATTTTGCATCAATGACGGCAATATTTTCATAGCTGCATTAATAAAATATATTCCTTTAATCATTTTAGTTTTTGCAAAGGCATCTATTACTTAAAACATCTATTTATCTTGTTTCATTATAGCAAGTCTAACATTATTCATTTTAAATTTATGACTAATCACATTGCTTACA